GCCTGACTTAGCAATTATGTAATCCCAGTCCATTTGATTATTTATGGCCATATACGTGTATTAAGAAAATGATTTAATTCAGTATCCGGGTTACATGTAATGTGCCAGTTACAGCCAATCTAAAATTCCTTACACATTTGGGAAGATGGAGGTGAAGAACAAACAGAAATATGGCTTGTTTTACTAAGTATTGTTTGAACTCAGCTTCGGCATATGAAATTAATACTGAGTGCAGACTTTGATCAAAAATGGGATGGCCCACTTATGGTGTGGTTTGCATTTCTTTAATCAGTTGAGGCTCTTCTAAACCTGTTTATATATGCTGCTGTTCTGCTGAGTACGGTACAGAAAAAGAACACACATTTGGACTGAGGGATGAAGAAGTTCAAGGACTGGGAAGCCATGATCCTCCAACTCAGCTGATCTGCAATCCCCAGCATTCTTCACCACCAAGGATACAAATTGTAGTTCTGTTACAACTGGAAGGCTACAGGTTTCTCATCCCTAAGGAGGGTAGAGTTTCTACATTTCTGATTACAAAGAAACGTTGAGCAGTTTCTTATTGGATCTCGAAAGCTGAAGGGAGAGATGCTTGGGTGGCTCAAAGTAAAATAGCTGTTGGGAGGAGTTGGGGTAGGGTTGGATTTGGGCTTAGCTTTTTGCTTCTGCCTCATTAATGCAAAATCATTGAAGACCATTAGGAAGCCAGAAGAGATCTTCACACAGGATCAGAAGCAGCATCTTTGGATGTGCATTGCTAGCTTTAGTGCAGTGTTTTTCAAACTTGGTAATTTTCAGATGTGCGGACTTCAATTCCCAGAATTCCCCAGCCAGCATGCTGGCTAGGGAATTCTGGGAGTTGAAGTCCAAACATCTTAAAGTTGCCAAGTTTGAAAAACACTGTTTTAGTGGGCAGGAGCAGCTACTTCCCTGTCCTGTTTGGGACTTCAGTCACCACAGAGTCCTCTGGCCAGATAGGGTGGGTAGTCCTGCAATGGACCCATTGGAGTCCTGTAGGTTACTGACCTCTCTCAGGCTCCTTCTCCATGCCACAGAGATGTTCACATGAAAAGTTTTCTTCTGTTTCCCAATGAAAAAGACCATTTTCCTGTTGAGTCACCTTGGTGTGGCTTCACTGAGATGAAGGCACCATCATGAAGAAAGGCCGTCAGCAAAGGATAAGCAGGCTATCTCATTGCTGGGGCAAGTTAGGCATGGAGAAGCTCAGCTTGTTACTCAGCCTGATCACATGGTGACAAAGTTCAGTATGTATGACAAACAAACGTATGGCCTTCCTCTTCCCCTCCCTTCCCTTCCCTGAAAGGAATAAGCCATCCAGAATGTACCCAATGGCCTTCAGAGGTTTTGTGGAGTAACTCCTGTCATCTCCAGTCAACAAATAATAGGGGTTGTAGTCCAATGCCCTTGGATGGAGCTTGGTTAGAGAAGGCTAATTCCCCCCTTCCCAACCCACCCCCTCAATGGATTCAAACCTTGCATTCCACAAGCCGTGTGTCCATATGTGGTGATGAGCTGACCTGATCTACAGATGGGAGACAAGTTGAAAGGGGCCAAAAACTGGACCTAGATCAAAAAAACTTTGGCAATGCAATGCTATTAAACGTAATCCAAGCCCACATACTGGGCACTTTGTGCACTGAAGGAGAGACCAAGAGCTCTGAAGCTGAACAGCAACAGCCCTATTCTTAGGCAGAGTGGAACAGAAGTGACAGACTCCTATTGTTTCTCCTGTCCTCTCCAGCTGTTCTCTCTACTGGAAAATATGGTGCTGCAACTGGGGCTGGACCTTAAAGCTGAAGTCCAGGACCCCACAGTCCTTCAGAGGAATCCTCCCTATAACCACAAAGAGCAGAGAGGCTCCTGGGCTTCATTCCTGGGCTGATACAGCAGCCATATTGGGACCAGCCTTTTCTTCTCCTTTTCTTTCTCCTCCTCCTCTGTAAGAAAACTTCAGTATCAGGGACAGCTAGCTAGATGAGTATTTAGTTATGGAGCTCGGGCTATTATTTATCTCAACAAAATGATAATCCACATGGCTTTCCAAAGGGATAGCTCTCTCCACCAAGTCAGGTCACTAATGGTCTGTTACGTGGCCTGTCCTGAGTCCCCTAAAACTCTGGGAAACTGTGGAAAAGATGTGAGCCCAGCCATGTATTACATTTCAAGCCCCATCCTGCCAGGGTATGAAGTGGAAAAAGAGCACCTTCTTACCCTGTTCCTCAAGCAATCGCATATCTGGACAAGCCTGGAGTGCGGGCGACTTGCACTGGTGATAAGCAGAGAAATGCTCCTGCCTATTTTCCCTACCAGTTTTCACTGGTATTTGTTTTAGATTTTTTTTCAAAGGAGAAAAGAATTTGGATGAAATTCTCAGGTGGGGGGGAGTAGGGTACTCATGGCCTTGTTTAGTTCTGAAGAGGCCAAGATGCATGTACAAATTGCTCATTTTTCATCATCAGATATGTTAGCAGGGTGTGGTAAAAAAAAATAAATAAATAAGATGGCCGCCACAATAGGGCTGTGGAAGCTCCCCCTGTTTTTTATACGTCATGCACAAAACAGCCAGGTGGAGCTTCAATTCCCGCATTGTGATTGCCACTCCACAAGTGGAGCTTCAATTGTACCATCTTGACTTTTTTGACCACACCTTGCAGACCCCCCTGTTCATCATACAACCCATCCTCTTTCCAGTGGTCTATAGCCTCCATTAAACCCCTTGGGACGTCATCACCAGGGTGATGTGAAAAACTGTTTTATGGTTTAGGTGTGGTGTATTCAATAAACTATGGTTAACCAACTTATGCTTCAGTATGTACTGTATATGCACCAGGTCTGTGTCTATATAAGAGGCAGGATGTTTTGGACCAGTGCTCATGAGACTCATTGTGACTCATCTGAGCAAGAGATTGAAGAAGTTATAGTCCCAAAATCAAGCAAAACTCAGCCTACCATGAATATCAGAGGGTTCAGGCAGTGGCCTTTGACAGCCTTTCCCATAGATCTAGAAGAAAGATCTATTGTGCCTGTCAAGGTGGGGCTTCACCATTTAGCTGAAGTTCTCCCCAAGCAGTTAGATCTAAAAAGTTTCAGACCTAAAAAATCACTTTGTAGCACTGGGTTCAAGCAGTATGCTGAGTTTGCTTATAGCTCAATAGGTATGTGAACGCAGCCATCCTGGTTTGCCGATGATGGCTTTGTGCAAGGTGGGTGGATCAAGCCACACAAACTGAATATAAGCCGGTACTGTGAGAGAGTCTGTAAAATGGCAAATACAGTTCTGGGTTGCATTAGAACAGTGTTTCTCAACCTTGGCCCTTTAAGATGTGTGAACTTCAACTCCCAGAATTCCCCACCCAGGGAATTCTTGGAGTTGAAGTCCACGCATCTTAAAGTTGCCAAGGTTGAGAAACACTGCATTAGAAGAAGCACTTGATCAAAGATGCATGAAGTATTCCTGTCTACGTTGCACTTTGATGAGACCATACCTGGAGTACTATGCATAATTCTGGGCACCGAATGTCCAAAAGAATACTGATGGGTTAGAATAGATCCTGAGGAGAGGGGTAAATATGATACAGAGATTTAAGGACATCTCCTATGAGGACAGGCTGGAGCAACCTGGGATGATCTGTTCAGGTAAATAAAATGCTGTCCTAGGAAAGGTGGTCAGGAACAGAAATAAGAAAAGAAATAGGACCAGAAATAATGTATACAAGTTGCAGCTACCTGGAGTTCACTTAAATATAAGGGAAAACTTCTTTACTGTAAGACCTGCACGACAGTAGAATGCTTTACCAACAGAGGTGATAGGTTCTCCATCTCTGGAGATTTTTCAGTAAACCTCTGCCTTCTCAGCCACCTCTCGTGGATTGTTTAACTGGTTTTCTTGCACACAGCAGAGGGGTGGACTGGATGATCCATGTGTCCCTTCCAATTCCACACTTCTATGATTCTCTACTTCAGTTGTGATTTAATTAGCTAACCACAGGTAAGCAAGCCATGTTTTAGTATTTATACAGATGCCTCCAGTCTACTATGGCACTCTCATTCCTATACACCCAGTTGCCTTTTTTTTTAAAAAAAATGGGACCATCTTTTTAACCTGTAAAATCAGCACCACATCAATTCCCCAGAGTGGCAGAGATCCCAGGGATGGAAATACCCTTCCTCACGACTTAACATGAGAATACATGCGGATATGAGAGAGTCAGTGTGGTGTAGTGGTTCAGGGGTTGTACTGGGAGCAGGGAGACCCAGGTTCAAGTCCACCGTTAGCCATGGAAGCTCCCTGCGTGGCTTTGGGCCAGTCACACGCTCTTGGTCCAATCTACCTCACAGGGTTGTTGTGGAAACCGGAAGCTACTTTGAACTCCTTGAGAAAAGGCAGGATTTAAATCTAACAAGTAAACGATGAAGTCTCTGGCAGTTGGGTCAAGAGAGGCCCTGCCCAGCTGAATCGGCAGGACATATCTCCACAGCTAAGGATTTCTCCAAACTCTTGGAGATAAACCTACGCCTTTCAGGGGCTTCCTCTCTTTCAAAGTTGGATGGAACCCGTCAGGCTTTGTGACCCAGTGGATCTCCAGCAGTCAGTAGCAGGAGATTTCCTACTCCCCCCCTTTCCTTCCTTACACACACACACACACAGCGCTCATCTCTCCCCAAGCACACTTCTCTGCATTACCAAATGAAGCGAGAGGAGCACACTCCATTTATATTTTTACAACCCGAAGCGGTCGGAGAAAGCCGTCCCTTTCATTGCAAAAGCAGCCAATCTGCCTCCACCCCAAGTCTCTTCCCCAGACTCCCTTCCTAAAAGGAGCCGTAGGGCCCCCCCCCCCCCCCC